GCCTGCCGGGGAGATGCGCATCCGTACTGGGGACTGGTGGGGAGTGTGGGCACTGCTCAGGGGCTGCTCGCAGGGCACCAGTGCCGGGGACCAGTTCCAGGGACTACCTCTCCAGTCCTGCCCTGGCACGGGGCACTCGCCCAGGGGCACTCTTTGCCCTGGGCTGGGCCCTGGCTGTTGACGCCACACCTTTTATTCCTGGTTAAAAATTCACCGGAGGCGAGGGGAAGGGGAAGGGGTGCAGAGGTGTTTGCTCTCCGTCAGCACGCTGCTCAGCCTGGTCAGGTCGTGGTGGCTGCACAGGGAGGGGAGAGGGATATAGCTGCTCTGCTCTGCCTTACCCAAGCAAGACAGAGGGTCAGGACAGAGCAAGAGGAAGATTCGCAGGTTTGCACACCCGTTAGCAGCGTGCACACCTCCGTCCCACCAGCACAGGTATTCTTCCCCCAGCAAGCAGCCCCAGGGCACTCCAGGAGCCCCCCAAGCCCCCAGGGTGGTCCCCTGGCTGCTCGCCCCACCTGGAAACTGACTGGTGATATGAAGGCCGCTGCAGAGCCCAGCCTACATCCTGGGGGAAAATTCCCTCGCGGATGCTCCCAGGCAGCAACAAGCTGAGGAATCGCTGTGGGATGGAGCCAGCACCTTCCTCGCCAGCGCCATGGCCGGAGCCTGCACCAGCAGCTCCCTGTGTGACAGCCCAGTGCACCGCACTGGCAGGGGAATTTACAGCCCAAATCCTCCTCTGCTTGGTTTCATGCCGTTCCTCCTCCTTCATCCCTGCCTGCTCTCCTATACCCTCTCCAGTATTTACACCCAGTACTTTAACCTCCCCCTGGGGCCGAGCCAAAGCCCAGCCGAGCCAGGGAGAGCCACACCACTGACTTCAGGGAGTATCAGAGCTGGTTCTTGGCCCTCGTGGAAGCAAGCTGTGCTTACTGGGTCGCTTTTAATATCCCATCTTAAATCACATCTTCCAGCACTTCATCCCTTTTGGCTCCTATTTATTGACTTCCCAGCAAATGCTTTAAATCTGTCCTCCTTCGTTGTCCAGCTGTGCTGCTCCAGCCCCTGGCACGTCAGAGCCCTGCTGCCAGCCACAGCCACGCTGTCCTGCCATCTCCCTGCATTTCAGGAGCCCCTCCACACCGCAATGGTTGCATCTCCCTTTCCTGCACCGACTAGCTCAGATGTTGTAGCACAGGGCTGCCCTCATCATTCCTACCACCACCAAGTGCCCTCCTGGTTTTTTCTTTGTGCAGCCTGCCGTGCCCTTCTGGGACCAGCCTTTGTACACTCACCAGTCCCTTTTCACCAGTCAAAACAGGTTGACCACTAGTGCATCGTGGCAGCTGGTGGGATCCCTGCCCTGCGCCCAACGAGAAGTTGCAAGGCACGGCTCCCTGCTGAGCTCCGCTGGCTCCCAGGAAAGCTGGGAGCCAGCAAGGGTAATTGCCCAAGACAAGTTCACAAGGCTTGGGGGATTTCCAAGCAAAGCTGCATCCACTTTGCTCTCTGTTTTCCTCCGTACCCTGGAGAGCATGTCTGTAATCACCAGAGCCCTCCAACTTTTTTATCCCACTAGCAAGCCCGAGCTGAAAAAAAATAAAATATTTGACATCCCCAAGGGGAAGGATGTTTTCCAGTTCTCAAGTAAAGGAGCATTTTCAGCTCACATAGGCCTCCTAAAAATAAATACAAAAATGCACCAAGGATTAGAGGCCAGAGCTGCCATCTCTGCTAGAGCAAAGTGCCACTCTGCTGTGTCAGTGCCCTGGTCCCTACACCGACCTGGCAGCGCAGGGACAGCCCCGACACCTCAGCACGCACACAGATAATCCCACATGGGATCCCAAAGTCCCACTACATCCTTCAGCTTCCTGGTCTTAACACCCACCCTGTGAGTACCCGCTGTACCTGGGGACCACCTTCTGCCACAAGGGGTGCCCAGCGCCCCCCTGCCACAGCAGGGTGGGGGGACAGTGAAGAGATGTCACCCACTTGGAGCCTGAGCAGCTGGGTTATCCCCCTTGGGGTAGCAGGAGGCTGTGATGGATGCAGGCTTCCTGGCACCCCCTTGCGTAGCAGAGCTGAATTTTTTCTATTTTTAATTTCATTGCATTCTCCCAGTAAAATTCCCAAGGGGAAAAGAAAATGTAAGCAAAAAAAGAAAGGAGGGGAAAAAAAAAAAAAGCCGGCCCCAAGCCAAAACAAAATCCTGCATTTAATGGCTGCCGCCTGGGAGCGGGCAGCAGCCAGGATGCTGTACCTGCCCCATATCCCTTCACACGCAGAACTAACCCAGGGACCAGCCATAGGGGCATCCCCTCTCATCCCTGCCACCCCAAACTGCCTCCCTCTCTGTCTCATAACCACCAGTCCCAGCAGCCCTGCATCAGCTCCTTCCCATCGCACCCTGGCCACGCTCTCGGTCTCAGGTGATGCCCCAGGTGTGCCAGGCTCCCCCCCTGCAGCAAGCATTCTGCCCAAAGATGCTGGGGAGGGAACCTGCCGCTTGGCCCCCCATTGAGGGGCCAGGGCCAGTGCTTACGGCAAGGATGCTGTTAGGGCTGCCAGGCCAGGCTGGGTGCACAGCCTGGGGCCAGGTAGGTGCTGGGGAGAGCGATACCCCCAGTAAGCTGCAGGCAGGGCGGTAAGGAGGAAAATCAGCCTGTTGCAGTCCATTGGGGAAACTCCCTGCTGGGGATCATTGCTACAGGCTAGCAAATAGGCTACCCTATTAAGCTCTTTAATTAATGATGGTAAATAAGGGTTGCAACAAGAGCTGGATTCATGCCAAAGGCTTTACCAGCAGCTGCACCAGGTCCTGGACAGGCGATGGGGATCCCCTGCCCCAGCACTGCTGCTACATGGGGCAAACTTGGCAAAGTTTGGCTGCGAGGGCCCAGCGCTCTGCTGCGGGTCAGGGAAGAAGCTGGCAGAGCGACACTGCTCTGATTTACGCAGCAGCCTTGTCCCCTAAAGCATCAGAGGGGTCAAGTCTCTATAGAAACCCCACCAGAACACAAACACAGCCCATTCCCCGGCCCAGGAACCGCGCTACCAAGCCCTCTGTGCCTGGGAAAAGCCTGCGTGGTGCTGGGATTGCTGCTGGGAGAGGGAAAACCAGCGGCTCCCGTACCCGCTGCTCTGCCGGCTGCCTGAGCCCCGGGGAATGCCACTGTGGCCAAACGCTGCCCGCAGGTGCAATGCACAGGCAGAGCCAGCGTTCCTGTTCTGCAGTGCCCACTACGTTTCCTAGTCGTGCCTGGGCGAGGAGCAAGGCCGGGGGCTGTGGCTGGTGCCCACCCTTCCCTCTCCTGCACAGGGATGGAGCAGCTCTAGGGCTGAGGCTGCTACGAGGATGCGAGACATTGCAGGGGGCACCAGGTCCCTGTTTTCCCCAGAAAATGAGGCCAGGGGGGGTGCCTGCAGCCCTGGGGGGGCACAGCCAGCCCAACAGGGCTCTTGCAAGAACCTGCCGGAGGGGACGAGCCAGAGCGGCAGTTCCCAGAGCCAGTGTTTGCCTTGGCAGCCCCAGCCTCCACGTCTTGCTTTCCAGACGCCAAGCTCCTAGGGGGAATAGCTGGATGTCTAAAACCAGGTCTGGCAGTGGGGCTGGTATCTGGCTGGGGACATGGCAGCTCCCAGGGGTTGGGGGTGGCCCATGCCCCCACACTGCATTCCTGCCCCACTGCCGCCAGGCTGGGCTTTCCCACCGGCAGCCCAGCTCAGGCGCTGCGCCTGCTCAGCAAGCCCAGGCTGGGGGGGAACAGCGTCACCTTCTACGTAACATCCCTCCATTAGTTTTCCACCCTGTAAAGCCAGGGAGGATCGGATCCCATCCTGTCTCATCCCACCCCACCCCATCCCATCCCCGTCTCCTACAAGCCTGTCCTGCTCACAGCCCGGGGAGCAGCCACAGCTTGTGCTGCACCAAAAGCAGCTCTGGCCTGGGCAGCTCAGGCTCGGCTGGGGCTAAAGCTGCTCTGTCCTGCCCCAGGAGCAGCCAGGTGGGGCAGAACAAGTAGCGGGAGCGTCGCCACGCTGTCCCAGGACCGGAGGGATGCTGCGTGGCACACACAGCTTCCCCCACCTCCCCCCAGAGCTGAGGCGCACAACGCATCTCTCAAAACCTTTATTGTCAGCAAATAACAAAAGTCAGCCCCGCAGCGGCCAAGGGAGCCCGGAGAGAGCGGGGTGCTGGCACCCCAGGGCTCGCCGCCCCGGCGGGTCCCCTGCACCAGCCCCCTCCCCGGCCCCCTGGGCAGCAGCAGGGCTGGGCGTGCACGGGGGGGTCGGGTGAGACTGGGGGGTACGTGTCATTCTCCAAAGCGAGGGGCACATTTACAACTGCTTATAAATAAACAACAACGAGAAACCTCCGGCTCTGGGAAGCAGGCAGGCATCCTGCTGCCGAGCCGCCAGCCCAATGCGCTCTGCCCTCCAAAGGCAGGGAGCAGCCCACTCCCCCAGGGTTGCAGCCACCGGGTGCCCCCCCCCCCCCCGCCCGGGCCTTCCCCCCC